TTATTTATTTGTTTATTTTATTAGTTTATTTTATTATTATAAGTGATTTTGACCATTAAAGATTCTCAAATTATTTCTTACATCATTGTCTATTACAGACTAGTAAGGCATTCCTATATTCACCTATCACATGCTACCAACGAAAAGAATTCAATTTGAGTGGGAGTATTTTACTAGCCATTGTGGAGATTATCATCTCACAAGAGCGTAGGTACTTTATTTTCTAAAGAGGAACGGAGCTCGGGCATAGAGCTCATGTAATGAAAATGCATGTGAGAGTGTGTGTGAAGGAACATATAATTTTCAATCCCATAAATCGAGACAAAAAGGAAAAATGTTAGTAAACAAATAATATAATCATTACACTTTAAAACCATTAGACCAAAGGATAGGATAAATATAAAATTTATGGCCTGACTCTTTATCGGTATCCCCAGTAGAGTCGTCAAACTATCATAATAAATAGATCCAAAAATCTTTAGCTAAAATAATTTAAGGAGTTGTCACCAATCTTTTTGAACTAGGTGTGATTAATCACCTAATGAATCTATCATTTTAAGGAGCTCATAAGCTTGAATAAAGGTCCCTAAAGAATAGGTTCTAATCTACTAATCAGAATAGGGTTTGAGAGTTTGATTATATATGAAAAATGTTATAGCACCCTCACATGCCCATCCAAAGGATGGTACAATTTGATTTTAAATTATCTTAAGGTCTTGATTTTAATAGTCTTAAATTTAATATTGAATATTGGAAATAATTTTTAAAATTCTCTACCAATCTGATAAAATTTTTAAAAATATTTTCTCACCTCAAGAATATTCAAGAATCTCATTTATTTTTTTAAAAAAGCTCAATCATCGGAAAAAAGTTTAATAATTATTTTTATTTTGATTTTTTATTGAAAATATATCTAATTATTCCATCATTCAGGCCAAATTATAAATATTTTTTCACCTAGAAATTTTTTTAAATAATCATCCATTTGTGATTACTAAGAATTTCATTCTCAGAATTTATTTTTTATTTTACAAGTTTTATTTCTAAATTTTTCACCATTTAGGCCGGTTTAGAAAATTTTTTTTATTTCTAAATTTTTCACCATTTTGGTCCATTTAGAAATTTTTTTTTTTGTTTTTTGTCTTTGGAAAAAAAATAATATGATAATTTTTTTTTGAAGTTTCATTTAAATTCTTCTACCATTTGGGATAAATTTAAACAAATTTTTCACTTTGAGATTTCTTAGGAAATTTATCATTTGAAATTTCTAAGAATCTTATCATTAGATAATTGTCAAATATTTTTAACCAAAATTTTTTATTTAGAAAAGAATACGATTTCTTTTATTGAAATTTCATCTAAATAATTTTATTATTTGTGACAAATTTAAAAAAATTTCTCACTTAAAAGTTTCTTAAAAAATTTACTATTTATATTTCTAAAATTCTCATTATTGGGTAATTAGTGTTTAATTCCAAAATTTTTATTAAATTTGTGTTTTTTTATTTTTATTTTTTAAATTGAAAATAAATATTAATTACTATTATTATTGAAATTTTATCTAAATTATTCCACCATTTGGGACAAATTTAAAAAAATTTTCCACTTAGAAATTTTATAGAAATTAATCTTTTACAATTTCTAAAAATTTCCTCATTGGATAATTGTTATTTTATTCTAAAAAAATTATTAGTGTTTTATTGTGTTTTATATTTTTTTTTATTTTTTTTAAAAATTTAATCATGTAAAAATACTTTAAAATAAATAAATATAAAAAATTCAAAAACAGGAAAATGGTTCTGCTCAACTAAAGAACTAGCTCGACTGTAGGGATGATAGGTGGCTGAAACGGCTTGAAGAATGGCTTGACTTGGCTCAATCTTTAGCAGCTAGAAACGGATCTTCCAATCGAGTCGCACTGCGAGTCGGGTCGAAGTCGGTAAAAAGCGCGGATCTTGAGCTTTTTTAATCTTTAAAACAATGTCGTTTTACATTTATATAAAAGGCCTAAATCTTTTTTTTTTTTTAGATTTCCTCTCTTCCTTTCTCTCTCTCTCTTCTTTCTCTATTCTCTCCCTCTCTCTTTAGAAACGATGAACGTTGGTTGAACAACTCATTGAATTCTGAAAAACAATGCTAAAATCTAGGTTAAGTTGCCTAAATCTTCAAGTTTTGCCAAAACTTTATCGAAAATTGAAAAACTCACTAGCAATTTCAAATTTTGCCAAAATCTTCATCGAAAATTGGAACAGTTCACCAGAGTATGGAAATTTTTCAAATTTTTTCAAACAAAAAAAACTTGTACACTTTTCCTAAAAATTCCGTACTCTCTAACTACTTTTGTGCGTTTTTTCTTCTCTAATAATCTGTACTTCTAATTTCTCTGTGTATCCTTTGCTGTTTGGTATAAGTATGTATTTATAGGGTTCTAATCAAGAGAACCCTATACCAGACAAAATTTTCAATCTTCTTTAAATTTCAACTCTATATTTTAAATCAAACTCAAATTCTTTAGTTTATACAAACAGTTTCACACAAACTCAACAATCTGATTTTTATTTTATTTTTTATTTTTTATTTTTATTAACAAAAAATAATTATACCACAAACAAATTGAGATGTCCACAAATGGCACCCCATTATATAGTCCCACCCCATTATATAGTCCTAGGGTTATTTCAAAGTGGTTTCTTCAAGTAAGCGAGCCCTCCTTTCCTTCTAATTCAACTTATACAATTAAATTCCTGAAAGGCTACGTGATTATGAGCTGTCCCTAACCTTTTTCATAGAATCGAATGTGATTTGATAAAACAAAAGAAAAATACCTACAGAACAAATCAAAAGAAGAAGAAGAAGAAGAAGAAAGGCCTTTAAATCTGTGAGCGGACATCACTGCCACTATCTCACCTAATTCTTTTCGTCAACCCCTTTTTATCATCCCAATTTTTTTAACCTAAACAAATTTTATTTAATCAATTCCAAGTGAAGTTTTATTAGTAAATTTTACTGTTTTTTTACTCCACCTTCCCCATGTGATCATGGCAGACAAAACACACTTGGAAATCAGGTAGCTAATGAAACAAAGGGCGGAACAATTGGTCAGAAGTTGTTAAGCAATAGTTACTTGACCTTAGTTGCTATCCACTGATATTCAGTTCTCAGCCTATCCCTTTTTTATTATTATTATTTTTTTTATCATTGAAGAACAAAGATTTTTAGTAATTGGAATGCCCACCGTCTATGACTAATTTTTTTATTTAATTCAATTAATTTATATAATCATTTAAAAGATAATATACAATAATTTTAAAATTTAAATTCCGAAAATTACAATTTTTTTACCTCAATCTCTTTATAAAAAAAGTCACAAAAAACATGGCAGTTCATTTAACAGGCTCTATACTTCAGAACCAAATTGATTGAGACTCTATTTTGATTGACGGTAAAATTAAAAATAGTAATAAAAATTATTATAATTGTGATTGAAAAAAAATATTATAATTGTAATTGAAAAAAATATTATAATTGTAATTGAAAAAAAATTTAATGAAAAATTTAAATTAATTTAATTTTATTGAAATTGATATTTAAATCTAATTAATAATGCAGTAAATTTAATCACGACATCAAAAATATGAAAAAATCCAAATGAGAACTAAGAATTTTGTTATATTTGGATAGAGCAATCGGGAAGGCAATTTCACGACAGAAAGGAAAAACTGTTTCATTTTTTTTTCCTTCTTTACTTCTTTGTAATTTTAAATAAAGGAAGTTTTTAATTAAGGGTGTAATTGAGTTAAGTAGAGTCGATAAAATGAGAAGCTCAAACGAGCTTGAGCTCGACTCTTAACTCGTGGTTCGATGTTCGGTTCAAACTCGATCGAATTTTATTTTCTTAACTTGAGTTCGATTCGTGATCGAAATCGAACTACTCGAGCTCATTCAATTAAGCTCGATTAATATGTAAAAATAAATTCGATTCTTATACTCGATAAAAGTTCGATTATTTGTGCTAGAACTCGAACTCGAATTCAAGATATTTTATTAATTAAAATAATAAAAAATATTTAAATATAAAAGCTTGATTAGGTCCGTGAGCTATTCGAGTCAAGTATAAGAATATTCGAACTCGACTCGATCGACTCATTGAGTTATTCGAACTCGAGCTCGACTCGATAATAATCGAATCCAATTAGAATTTTATTCGAATCGAACCTGAGTAACTTACGAATATTAATGTATCATTTACATTCTTATTTTTAATAAAAACCCATTATACATGAACTGATATGAGTAACAAACACGTACATTTTTCACTTAATGAAAGCTATCTTTTACTAATTCTATCCTATTCGTCCCCACTGAAGATGTTTATAATGGGTAGTGAATTTTGACTTCAAATATCGGAATTCTCTTTCAATATTTGGTAGAATCTTGGACAAAAAAAAAAAAGAAACAAATGGGAAGCTGATTAAAGAAGAGAGGGAGGGGGGATGGCCGACATTGTGTTCGATGGTTAAGACAGGAAAGGGACATATGGACCAGAGTTGCACGCTAGAGAGTCCAAGTTAGCATGGCTTTGTGGGTCAGTAGTGCTTATGTCAAATTAGATTTGCTGTCGGTATGGCTTTTTAGGTCTCTCAGATTTTGCTTTGTTTTCATAAAAACATAACATTAAACCAAAAAAAAAACTTCAAAAAGAAAAAGAAAAAAATTTGATGCCCGATTACCCCACTTTATACCTTGTAAAATTAAACCAAGAGTATAGAAGATGGATATGTCTGGTTGACGGTGGAGAACATTAATTTTCTCTTCTAAATAATTAATTTATTAATATCTATGCTAAATAAAGCCCCTGGTCAAAATTGTCTTTTTGAAGTTGTCCTATAGGCTAACAATAATATCTATATTTTAATTAATTTTGGGTGGGAAAATTTCTTGGCTTATATATATGCCCATTTGCAATAGACCTGCCATTACCAACAACAATCAAAGTTCTCTCGTTAAACACGTCCTCCCTCAACAACCACAAACAATCAATTCCTTCTCTCTCTCTCTCTCTCTCTCTCTCTCTCTCTATATATATATATATATATATATATGATAATTTTTTTTTCCTGGCTAGTTTTGCTTCAAATAATGCTTTCACACTTTTGTCTAAAAGCTAGCTATAGCTTATGCGGGAGCTTAAAAGAAATTGATATATATCAGAATCAAAGGGCAAAAGAAATGGGACTGTTGTCAAGAAAAGCCACGTGCAATTCTCATGGGCAAGATTCTTCTTACTTCCTAGGATGGCAGGAATACGAGAAAAACCCCTACGATGAAGTCAAGAATCCTAAAGGAATTATTCAGATGGGTCTTGCAGAGAATCAGGTAAAAAAAAAACCCAGAAAAATACAGAGCAGTAGATTCTTTTTCATTTTTATTATTATTGTACTATGGTGGAAATGGAATGTTGTTTTTACAGCTTAAACTGCTGTCTCTTATAGTTTTATTTTTGCAGCTCTCCTTTGATCTTCTTGAGTTTTGGCTGGCCAAAAACCCAGATGCAGCTGGTTTCAAGAGAGATGGGCAATCCATATTTAGAGAGCTTGCTCTTTTCCAAGATTATCATGGCCTCCCTGCATTAAAAAAGGTCAGCTAACAAGTAACAACGCCATTATTTTATGACAAAGATATAGCTCTTGGTCCATTGCTTTTGTCAATATTTAATCTTTGTTTTGATAATTCTATCAACAGGCGTTGGTTGATTTCATGGCTGAAATCAGAGGAAACAAAGTAACTTTTGATCCAAATCACATAGTCCTCACCGCCGGTGCAACTTCTGCTAATGAAACTCTCATGTTTTGTCTCGCTGAACAAGGCGACGCTTTTCTTCTTCCCACGCCATATTACCCAGGGTATGTTTATCTTTGCTTTCTAATTTAATTTCTCTGTTACTAAAATGTTAAGAAAACAACTCCTTAACTTTATGCATGAAAACGTATGTTACTAAATGTTAATATTTCTTTTTTCATTACAGATTTGATAGAGATCTCAAGTGGCGAACAGGGGTTGAGATTGTACCAATTCAGTGTACCAGCTCTAACCGCTTCCAAATCACTAAATCGGTCCTTGAAGAAGCTTATCAACAAGCACAAAAAAAGAACCTGAGGGTCAAAGGGGTCTTAGTCACCAACCCCTCTAATCCATTGGGCACAACAATGACAAGAGCCGAATTGGACCTACTCATTAACTTCATTACAGACAAAGAAATTCATTTAATAAGCGATGAAATTTACTCCGGAACTGTTTTTAGCTCTCGAGCCTTCGTAAGCATCATGGAAGTTTTAAAAGATAGAAACCTCGAGAGCACTGATGTCTGGGACAGAGTTCATATTGTTTATAGTCTTTCCAAGGATCTGGGTCTCCCTGGTTTTCGAGTTGGTGCAATTTACTCCAACGATCCCATTGTTGTGGCTGCCGCCACAAAAATGTCCAGCTTTGGCCTAGTTTCTTCTCAAACTCAATATCTTCTCTCCGCCATGCTATCCGATAAGGAATTCACAAAAGGATACATTTCCAAAAACCACAAGAGGCTTCAAAACCGACAGAGCGAACTGGTTTCAGGCCTGAAAAAAGCCGGTATCAGCTGCTTAGAAAGCAATGCCGGATTGTTCTGTTGGGTTGACATGAGGCACCTTTTGAGCTCCAACACGTTCGAAGCAGAAATGGAGCTTTGGAAGAGAATAGTTTACGATGTTAAACTAAACATTTCTCCTGGCTCTTCATGTCATTGCACTGAACCAGGGTGGTTCCGAGTTTGCTTCGCTAACATGCCCGAAGACACCCTAACACTCGCCATGCAACGGTTGAAGTCTTTCGTTAGTTCTTTTACCATTAACAACCAGAGCGACAAAGACTCGAAAAACGCAAGAAGAAGGTCCCGCAACAAATGGGGGTGGTTCCGAGTTTGCTTCGCTAACATGTCCGAAGACACCCTAAGACTCGCCATGCAACGGTTGAAGTCTTTCGATAGTTCCATTACCATTAACAACCAGAACGACAAAGACTTGAAAAACGCAAAAAGAAGGTCCCGCAACAAATGGGTTTTTCCGGCTATCGTTCCAATCCTTGCATGATCTGGTCAATTTTACGAGTGTGAACACTTGTTCATTTTGAAAATATGAATTTTTGTTGTTGTTATTTGTTCAGTTGTATACAGAGAGAGAAACAGCATTCAATCCTTGCGGGATTTGAAGTATGTTTAGTTTTACCTGTAAACTTTACGTTACCACCTGCCATGAAAATCTTCTTGGATTATTCGAAATCATTATAGTATATAATTTGCAAAGAACAAATTCCTTGTCAATTTACATATAAACAATTTTTCCTTTAATTCTTTTACTTATCATATGTATAATTTGTTTTTAGATAGTGCTATTTGCACTCATCTCATAATCTCATTTAATATATTCACTTTTAAAAATTTAAATGAAAAATATTAAAATTTTTAAGATTATAATAAAATTTCAAAATTATATATATATATATATATATTATATGAGCGTGTAAAAGAAGTGTATTAGAGAAGTGTATAAAGCATTTTCTTTTGTTTATTAATTGCTTCTATTAGTAGTAATATAGAAGTGTACTGTCATGTAATTGACTACGCTCGTATAACATTTATTTTTTCTGGCCCTTGCCTGTTGGACTCGGTGACTTGATCATCAACATCATCAAGTTGCCGACATTTGCCTAATCCTTCATTAGTTGTGGGTCAACCGACCTTATCATCACCATTATAACTCTTAACGTTGTTCAAGCCGTATGCGAAGCGAATTTCAAATTCCAATCCATAAAATCCTTTCTTTTTTTTTTTTTTTGGGGGGGGGGGGGGGGGGGTTTATCCTGTGGGTTTAGAGTCAAAAAACATTCTATTTTTTTGTTTTGAGAGGTTGAAACAAAGCCATAGATATTCCTACGTATACTAATTCTCTATCTTCAATTCCTTTCAACTAAAAGAAATATTGTGTGGATTTAGATGTAAATAAAGCTATAACTGTTTTTGCTTTGTTTCAAAGTCGTCATCAACTACGCAAGCTTTGGAAACAACTATTGCTTGCAAGAAATCTTTAAAGTGAAATTAACTTTTAACTTTCAAAGGTTCAATTAGTGATTAAAAAGGATGAGAGAGTTTACGCGGTTTTTGAAAGACTTCTTTCATGTTTTATATCCAAGATTTAATCCATGAATAGTCTGGAGATTATGTTTTCGAAGACTTAAAGAAAAATAAGATTAAATAAAAAAAAAGTTATGGGAAAAGAATAGAAGGCTTCTTTCTCTCTTACTACTAAACGCTTCCATCAGTCCATGCTTTTCACTTAAATTAGTAATTAAAGAGTACTGAGACCCTTTTTTTAAGAAAACTTTAATTTGAGGATAGAAAAAGAAATATAAGTATTCAGATTTAAAACTTAAAATCCGTTAAATATTATATATGATTATATAAATTAACTAAATTAAAGTTTTAAGATATTCTTGAATAGTTAACTAAATTAACTAAATTTATAGTCAAGATTTAAGAAAGCAAAGCATATCCATGAATGGTTTGGAGATTATGTCCATGAATAGTTTGGAGATTAAGTTTTCGGAGACTTAAAGGAAAATAAGATAAAAAAGAAAAAGGTATGGGAAAAGACTAGGAGGCTTCTTTCTCTCTTACTACTAAAAGCTTCCATCATTCCATGCTTTTCACTTAAATTAATAATCAAAGAGGACTGAGATCTTTGTTTCTTTTAAAGAAAACTACAGTTTGAGGATAAAAAAAATATAAAATATTAAAATTTAAATATTATATGACTCTATAAATTAATTAAACTAAAATTTTTATATATTTTTGGATGACTTAAAATCAATAAATACTTGCTACTTTCTTTTATTTTTTTTTCAATAAAACAATTCTAAAAGAAAATATGGTGTTCGCTCTATTATTGTCAAACAAATTCAAATTCTAGTTCATTACCAATAAAAAAGTTTGATTGAAAAAAATAAAAAGATGATTAATTGTCATGCATTAACTATATATATAGCCATTTGTTTAGAATCACATAATCATTTTAGCCCAAATCTTTAATTTACTTAACTTTTGGTGCATAATTAGATCATAATTAACCAATCAAATTATGCGAAGATATCTTTTATACAATGATGCAATATATCTTCAAACATTTTAATATCTATAACGACTATATCATCATTTCTCATTAGTTAAAGCTTTAGAGAATGCTACAACTTGCATCAGTTGCTAACGAACACCATATCTTAAGTATTAATGTAACTCGAATCATTGAATAATATTCAATAATAATATATAACAATTCGGTCTTCTACATAATGATATTGAAAAGAAATAGAGAAATAATTTCTCTAAGAATTATATATGAATATATCTATATGGTACATCCATATAAAGAAAGAAAAATATATGTACCTTATCATTATTAATTTGCATAATTATAGGAATTCAATTTAAGAATATAAGATTGTGCCAATAATTTTATGTTGTTCATTTAGCTACTAAAACTATATATTAATTTTTTAGATATCTAGCTTATTTACTCAAACAAATGTTTGTGAACTCATGCTTACATACTTTAGTTGATTGGCACACCTAATTATTAGCAATTTAGGTTAAGATATTTTGATGCAAACGATCAACCCTATTGATTTAAGGATTGTTTAACCGTATTCGTTATTAATTAATTATTTTTTGACAAAAGAAAATGAATATATTGGCTAATTTAAAGTGTTTATAGTACTAATTTAAGTGACCATAAACTGTTTTTTAGTACCTAAGTATTTACATGTTTCCTAAGCAAACAATACTAAAATTATGCCTTAAAAGAGATAAAATAAGGGAGTATTTTGAATTTTTTTATATTTTATTACTATTTTTTTCCCATAACGCCACTCATTAACTGGGATACCAATATGGATTTGGATTCTCTATAGTTAGCTTTGACTAACGCAAAATCGATGATGTTACCATTGATTGTGAACATTTTAATTAATTAATTAATGTACGATCTACAATCCTTTTTCATATATTAAGAATAGAAATAGCATTTTTCCCGTAGAATAGTTAATTAAGTAATTATGGTCTATTAAAGGCCAAAAAAAAGTAATTACGATCTTTTAAATAAATTTTAAGTAGTTAATTTTGGTTTTATTTATTTGTTGGGCTATGTCTATGTATATTTGTAAGATAGGAGAGATGGGGTTTATCTTAAAAAAGAGTTTTCGTTTCAGTAAATCAAAATTTGGAGTGTTTATATATAAATATATAAATATATATATATATATATCCCAAATTAAAAATATGAAATCGAGATTGAAGGGCGTTTTTATTATTCATACTTTCCATGAGGTCAATTCAATTGTTGATAGGCTCATCAAATCAGAAAATTATCGATTAAGTGATCTTGTAGTTTGGTTGTAAGGGTCTTTGGTCTTTTTGTTTTTTTTTACAATTACCCTTCTTTCCATTTTTTAATAAAATAAAGCTATCTTTGCTTTTAAGAAAAAATATATTTTTAAGCTTTAAACAAGAAATTAATTAAATTATATTATAACAAAAATAGAGAAACATATAACGTTTTTGCATTGCATGAATCACGATGATAATAATGATGATGATAATAAATAATCATTAATATTAATCAAGTAAGCAGCAGAAACATCAAACTAAGCTTTACCTTCTCTCTCCAGTGGATTGAATCCAACATATTGTCTGTTGCATGTGGCATGTGGGGAGAAATCTCCCATTTTGCCAACTCCTTTTGACGTCTTAAACTAAAAGATAAACCAAAACCATTATTTGCAGTATGCAATCTTTTTCAGTTACATAAATCTTTTAATTTCGAGCAAAAAAACAATTTATTCATAATTTGAAAAATAAAATTCTGGTTGTCCATGATATGCTGCAATACCGGTCGCAACTGTCCATGATCCTTACATGTGATGAAGGAGTTTGGTAGCTCTCAGTTCTCATAAATTAATGGTTTTTAGATTGAATAAAATAGAATTAAAAATAATTTAAAGAAGAAAGTGGGAGTTTCGGTCGATTTCATGTTCTTGTTTAATATTGAATGCATGTGCTATTGATAGAATTTTCTGGATTTCGCTGCACAAATTCTTATGAAACTCTGAGCCAAAGGACTTAAAATTTACTTCTTATTTTATATTAATGTCAACACGGTTTTAGGTAATTTAGTTTCTTCAATGCGCTTACGGTTCTGGACAGCAGATGAATTATATCAAAAATTTTCTGATTTGATAAGAAAGGAAATACTTATTTCCTTGTGAAAGTAAACTGTTGAGTTGTCCTTTTGGCTGGGAAAAGAGAGGCAAGAAAGGTTAATCAGGCAGTTTTTAAGGGCCGGAAACAGCTAACTAATTGGCTTTTCATGCAGACATTGAAAGGGAAAAAAAGAAATGAAGAGAGACATGAAAACCAGTGATTAAGAAAGCTTTGTCTCAACAGCTTCTTAAACACCAACATCAAAATTAGACCATGATCACCCTTCCCTAATCCTATGCATTTATGTCCAAACATAACAAAGATTATGGGGGACAATGACATGAAAGAATTAAAGAAATTAAAGGATGTCATTTTATCAAAATGTCAGCAATTAACATTAAAAAGGAAACAAAAATCCCATCATATTTAAGATTTTTTTTTTAACTGCAAACTGGGACGAGATAGCTTGCAGGCAAAATTAATGAGGTTGACATGAGAAATTTGATTAAGTGGGTATGCGAGTCATGTGGGTTTCACATGAGCAAAGGCAGATCGGCACATGCAAAAGCCCAAAAGGAACGTAGAAACCACCCGCCTGCACAATCCCGTAATATATTATATAAATACTTAGAATTAATATTGCAAACAAAATAAATTAGAGAGAGAGAGAGAATAAGTGTTTTTAATCTTTGAATTTGGCGCAGTGAAGGGAGCAAGCAACCTGGTATGCACTCCTTTAAGTGTTGCTCAGGCTCGTGGATACATAGGGGACCCAGCTGAACATGGCCCAATGCTTCCCTTTCAGTGCTGCTGATGCCCTCCTCCCTAACCCACACATCCCATACCCAAAAAGAAGTTAAAAAAAAATGTAGAATCCTGAATTAGGTTCCCATCAAAGTGGGCTCCAGATGTAGATTGGTGTTATTGTTTTGGGGAATTTAATTCCGATTTTGAATGATTGAGCAATGAGAAGTTTTCTTCTTACTTCTTTTTTTTTGTCTTCATTTAGGACCATATGTAATAATAAATGGAAAAATATAGGAAAGCTTT